GGTGGATTCCTTATCATCTGAGCCACCAGGGGAGCCACACGGTATAGGCTATGTTGGTAAAATAGAGACCTCAAAGTAGAGGGATTCTAGAGAAAAGTCAATTTCTTTTAAACAGTGTCCAGAAGGAAGTGGGCAACCTGCAGCAGATGGATAGCTCTTCTCCACAAGAGCATTCAGGGATCCAGGTTCCCTTCCTCAGTTTCCCTGATATTCCAGAGTATTGTCCTCATGTGCATGATTGAAGCTGGGTCACTTCCGTATCTACATTCCAGTTTATAAGAACCAGGAAATGAGGGTCTCTGCTATAACCTCTAAGGAGCATTTGCCACAGTTCTTCATTCTCTTTTTCTGGAAATACTTTTGTTTTTTGGCTTTGGTGACACAGCACTCTTCATTTCCTTCTACCTCTCCATTGACTCTTTCTAAGTTTCTTTTTCTGGCTCTAGTTCTTCTGGTCGACCACGAAGTATTGAACTTCTCCAAAGCGATGTCCTGTGCCATCTTCTAATCTTTCTATTGGCCAAAAAGTTCATATGGGTACGATATTACAGAAAATCCCAAAAGGACTTTTTGGCCAACCCAATATTTGCATGCTTCTCTAGTTTCTTTGGAGAAGGAAATGGCAACCCACTCCAGTATTCTTGCCTAGAGAATCCCATGGACAAAGGAGCCTGGTGGGCTACAGTCCATGGGGTCGCAAAGAATCAGACATTACTTAGCAACTAAACAACAAGTTAATCTTATGCAATTGTATGATTTTATATGCATTGAGATAGGAACAACTCTGAGTTTATGTCTTTAACCTGGACCTCTCACTGGAGCTCTAACATCATATATCTAACTGCAGACTTAACAGAGCAGATCTTAACTCCAGTTTGCTTGTCTTACCTCCACTCCCTGCTCAAGCCGGCTCCTTGTCCAGCTCTGGTCTGTGGCCCCTCAAGAAATACTGTCAGTGTGAACCAGTTGCTCTGGCCAAACCCTAGGTATTGGTCCTTAGGTTTAATATTTTTTACCTCCTCACATCCAGTCTATTGACCAGGCTTATACTCTCAACCTCCAGAAAGCATTCCAGATTTGTTACCTTTTCTCTGTCTTCATCATTACCATCCCTTTCCTGGACTACTCATATTCTTTTTTTTAAACTCCTGCCCCTCCAAACTCGTTCCCACACAGCAGCCCGAGTGATCTTTTATAACATGAATCAGATGTCACTGACCTTGCTTCTCCAGTGTTTCCCGTCTCCTGTGGAATAAAAGCCACACTCTTCATGCTGGTCTACAAGGCCCTGCAGGGACTGGCATCACCCACCCCTCCAGGCTTGTCTCCTGCCACTTGCCCTCTGGGTGAGCCCACTGCAACCGCAGTGGCACATACCCAGTTCATTCCCATCTGGAGGTTTTGTAAGAGGTGTTTCCTGTGCCTGAAACATTTGGGTCTGAGATCTTCCCCAGTTACTTTTCATCTTCTCTGTTACATCTCAGGTACCAACTCCTCGGAGGAATCTCCCCCCTCCTTCCCAACCCATCATTCTTTGTCACATCACCCTGTCTTATACCCAATGTGACATGATTTTGTTTACTGTCCATCTCCCCTAATGGGGAATATAAATTCCATGAGAGCAGGCTCTGTCTTGAGCCCCATTGTTACTCCGGGGTCCTTGGGAAGGATTTGCTGAATAAATGTCTGAATGTGGCTCAGATTTTGGAATATCCTCAGCATCTAAGGAGTGCTTTAAAATCATGAGAGTCTGAAGAAAGCTTTTTTTAAATTTCCTGTGTCAGTTAAAGACTTTCTATACCTCTTTAGCACCATAAAAATCTATCCTTCTTCTGACATAAGGACAAAAATGATGTTCTCATTTGGCAGATACACCCAGAAGTATTTAGGGAAGCCCATAGTCTAGAGTACAGGGATTCTTAATCTGGGTCTATGGCCCCCTGGGAAGTCGATGGATATCTGAAATTATATGCAAAAATTATATGCCTTTTTCTGAGAGGTGGATTTAATAGATTTGGCAGATTCTCAGAGGGGTTTGTGGCCTAAATGAAGTTCACTTTATTGTAGAAAAAGTGTTCAAGATGGAGTTACAAGATCTGTGCTTGTGTTCTGGTGCTGTGGTTACAAATACTGTAACTTTAAGCAGATTATGTAATCCATTTGGATTCTAGTTTCCACATTTCTAAAAATAACCTTTTGTCTTCTCACCTACATGTAACTGGTACTGCAAAAATGTATTTAATTCCAACACTGAATGCTCCATGTTTTACTGCATCTCATGGATAATGACATTGAGGCTCAGAGCACAGTTGGGTTACTTTCTCAAGACCATTTTCATCCCGAGGGAGGGTCTAGACCAAGACTCATGCTTTTTCACCCTTTAATTGCCTGCTCTTTAGAAAGAATGTGTGGTACTTCCCTGGTGGTACAGTAGCTAAGATTCCACATTCCTGATGTAGGGGGCCCGGCTTTGATTTCTGCTCAGGGAACTAGATCTCACATGTTGCAACTAAGGCAAATTTATTACAGCCAAATAAATAAAATAAGCAAATTTTTTTTTTAAAAATTAAAAGTTTGCACTATCATACATTCTGCTGTCCAATTTCCCTGGGTAGGATAATTTCTTGGACACTTCACTGCAGGTACATTAGGAAAGCAGCTCACTAGTGATGTGCTTCTTCTACAGGTTAAGTCTCATCTTGAACTAGACAAGAGCTGTGAGCTCAGGAGTATAGACCTTATTATCACTTCCTTGCAGAAGTGAAAACTGAGGTGCAAAGAGGTTAAGTAATTGATCTTAGGTCAGAAAACTAGTAATTTGCAAAGCTGGGAGACTATACTTCAATCTCTAATATGTTCTTAAATTTTCTATTAAGATGACCTTGGGCATCTTTATTCAACTAATATTTTTGACTTAAAGAGCTGACTCCTCATCTTCATAGCTCATTTTTTTTTGGCTGTTCTTCAAAAAATTATTTGAAGGTACTTTGCAAAGTTTGAGCAATATTTTTCTCTAAGAGAACAGAAAGGTATGTGACGTGCCCACTGAACAAGGACTAATGACATTGTTAAGAAGGGAGAGAAAATAATATCACTTCTATATCGATCTCGGCTCTTACACATTAACATCAGACTACGACCTCTAAAATGAGGAAAGCACCAGCTTAACTTTGTGAGGATCTTGGAAATGAGGAATTAAGGTGGGCTAGAGATTCAACTCTACAGTTACATGACTGGGTAAGAGGCAGCTTCAAATAGCACAAAAGCAACTAATGAGTATTTGACTTAAACTTTTCCCCATTCACACTGTCTATACCAGTGTCAATGATACTTTGTAAGAAGTAGGGAACAGACCAAGTCAATATTCAACAGACCCTTTTGGCGGCCGATGACATCACATTGGTCAGTCCCAAGAAACAGCTGTGCAGTATGATGTTTGATCTTAAATACATTTGTACTAAACTGTAAGTTAAAAGCTTAGTCTTTAAAAGTTTGTGTCATTGTGTAGGAGCTTAAAGGTAAGCAATAGTTTGTTGGTAACTGAGTGTTTGGCTTTTACTGTCCTCTCATCCAATGTACCTCTAAACCAGTAGACTTTCTAGAGAACGTTCAGGAACAGAGTAGGAGCTACAAGCCCCTAACTGTTTTCAGTGCATTTTTGCCCCATATACCTGAGCATCTCTATGATTTTTTTCCTTTTGCTTCCCTTTCCTCTTTTTTTTTTTAAATTTTAATGCCTTAAGCTATTGACCAAATAGTTCACCCATTTTAATCAAAAGATTTGCCTTGAAATAATTTTGACCATCTCTAAAAATCAAATAAGTCTTCAAAGGATGAAAATAACTTCCCTTCAAGGAACTGCTGATACCAAAGGAAATTTAAAAATAAAAGACCCAAAGGTGCATAATGAAGATGGTATGGTTTGAATTATCTCTCTGAATCATTTTCCTTGTCTTGTAGTTTCTTTCCCTGTAGCTCTTGCATTAATATTGACAAGAAAAGTGTTGTAGCCACGCGTTCTGGGAAACAAACTCAGAAGGACAATGCAGATAGCGGAGTGCAGTTTATTACACCAGCGGGCCTAAGGCAGAGTCGCCTCTTCACCAAGGACCCTGATCAGTTTTTCTGAAAACCTTGTATACCCTAAGTGTATGTGCCAAAACCCACCTCCCCAGATTCCCTGAAACTAGTCTGGACAAAGGAAAAGAAAGATACAGTCAAAGTTACCCCATGATTCATACGCCTTAAGCCTAGGTAGTTAACAGTGGACAATTATCAATGGGCCTGTGGCCATACCCCAGTAAGCACAATAGAATTTGTGATTCTATTCGGTTACACAGACAATTAGGGCATTTTTTAGGCAACAGAGAGTCTAGGTGCGAGCCCTGGGGCTCTTCCATCCAGGGGGCATGGTTTTCCAGTTGGTCTGTCGTTTCCATAGATACTGGGCATATTAGTGCAAAGTCCACGGTCCGGCCCAAGATGACGTCCTGCTTTCAAGACGGCGTCTCTTCTGGCTGTTTCCTCCTTCATTTCCCCCTCTTGATGTTCTTAACTCATAGTATGAGCATCATTCATAGGGATATATTGCACCCTGACTCTCTGACCTCCAGTTTGGGAGAATGACATCAACCTTTGGGTTACAAAGTTCAACATACATTGTAAAATAAAGGGTCCACAAAGCAAGACTATCAAGGCAACTATAATGGTAAATATAGTTTTCCACCAATCACCCTTCATCCAAGATAGGACCGAAATCCAAAAAGGAAGATTATCATCAGACATAACTTTTACCTGACCTTTCATGTCATCTAGTGTGGCTGATATATAGTCAGATAAATCAGGAATATGTACGCAACATTCAACTTTAGAGCACAGGTCCCTCTTTGTGCTGAAACTATGGTTAGTCTCAAGATGATAGCAGCAAGTCCTTGTAGCAGCAGTGGATCATAGAGCTTCACCTCTTTTCCTTCTTTAAGATGATCTTGGTTTCATGGGGATCAGTGGGGTCCTTTTGTGTGGTCCACTCGGCGTCCCCCTGGTCTATGTGGTATGCTCTCTTCAACCCATGTGGTGGATCCAGGGGGTGACACCTGCAACTTTAACTGCAGTAGGTTTGGTTAGAACAACAGTATATGGACCCTTCCACTGTGGGGCCAAGGAGTCGTGTTTCCAGTCCTTGACCACACCTGATCCCTGGGCACAAATTCATGAATCTGTTCCCCAAGGGGGAATGGCACCCTTTCTTGTACAAACTTAGTTACCTGATTTATTACCTTACCAAGCTGTTCCGTCTGCTGTGAAATCTCATCTCCCCTTATCTGAGGCAAATTTATTGACACCTGTTTTATTATGGGAGGGGACCTCCCATACACAATTTCCTACGGCAAATAGCCTTAGGACTGTGGGGTCATCCTGAGTCTGAGCAGAGCCATCGGAAGCAAGTCCACCCAGGAACAGTCAGTCTCTAAGATCCACTTGGAGAGTCTCTTTAAGTGTCTGGTTGGTTCCTCCCACCATCCCAGAACTCTGGGGCCTATATGCTGTATGTAATTTCCACTTGATGTTTAAAGTTTTGCTTACTTGTCATACTAAATTAGCTACAAAAGCCGGGCCATTGTCTGATCCAATGGTGGTAGGAAATCCAAATCTGGGAACTATCTCCCTAAGCAGGCACCAGGCTACTTCTGATGCTCTTTCAGTCGGGTAGGAAAATCTTCTACCCATCCTGAGAATGTACATACCATGACCAGAAGGTAATGGTAGTGTCGGTGAGGTTTCATTTCAGTGAAGTCCACTTCCAGGTGTTCAAAGGACAGCGTGCCTTTTACCTGAATCCCCGGAGGTTTCTGTCTGTGCCGAGAGGAAGCATTGACCTGTGAGCAGGCAGTGTAGTTCTGAGATTTTATCCTGCATAGGGAAGAGAGGCGGAGAACCAAGAAATATTTTGAAATTAGCTCTTCCAGTTTATCATGGCCTAGATGGGTCGCTTGGTGTGTTTCGCTTACCAGAGTGGGTGCCAGCTCCTCCAGTACCAATAATTTGCCACTTGGCAATTCCCACCATCCCTTTTCAGTTTTGATGGCCCCTTCCACTTTGGCTAGTTGGTTTTGGGCTTCATTGTATTTTGGAGAGTCTAGCATTAGCTCAGGGAGTTCAGCCAATATGAGAGCTTTAATAGGGGCTTCACTTGTCATCCCCAAGCCCTCAGCTGCTTGTTTAGTGATCTTATCTGCCAGTCTGTTGCCTGAGTCCAGGGGGTATCCTCTTTTTGACGTCCTCAGCAGTGTATGACTGCAACCCTTTCTGGTTCCCAGAAAGCATCCAATAGGGTCTTAATTTCTTCCTTATTTTTAATATCTTTTTCACTAGCTGTCAAAGGCCTCTCTCCTTATACAGAGCCCTGTAGTGTGGCCAAAGCATACCTGGAGTCTGTTTGTCTTCTTACCTTTTGACAGCTTGGAGGGCCTGGATTAGAGCGTATAGTTCGGCCGGTTGAGCGGACCAGTGTGATGGCAGAGAGTTAGTCTCAGCGATGGTTTCTTCCGTGACCACTGCGCATCCCGACAGTGATTGTCCTCGTTTCACCAGGCTGGTGCCGTTGGTGTACAGAACCAAATCTGGGTCCAGGATTGGCCGGTCTCTCAAGTCAGGTCTGCTGGTATATTTCCTTGCTATCATGTGAGGGCCCACCTTCTCCCACAAGAAAGAGAGTGGCCAGATTCAGGGTCTGACAAGGCTCAGTAGTAACAGGGGGTTCTCACATAACAGTCCCTGGTATTGAGTGATCGGGATGTTGACAGCCATTTATGGGGTTCCCCTCGCAGGGGAGTGTTGACCTCATGCGGGACTTTTACTAACAAATCTTGGCCCAAAGTCAGCTTCGTTGCCTCCTGGGCCAGTAAGGCCACTGCAGCAACTGCCTGTAAGCATCCCAGCCACCCAGTGGCAACATTGTCCAGCTGATTAGAGATAAGTCACTGGTCTGTCCCATGTCCCCATAATCTGGGACAACACTCCTGTAGCCACTTTGTCCTTTTCAGTCACGTAAAGAGTGAACGGCTTAGCAAGGTCTGGCAGGCCCAATGTGGGTGCTTATGTAATTGTGCTGGATTTGAGTTCTATTACCAGTGGGATTTGTTTTGCAAGCCTGGGGTTGGGGTAGGGGGTTGTCTTCTGCCTAGACCTCAGAGAATTGTTGAGTTAACTCTCTCTCTCTCTTTTTTTTTTTTTTTATGTCTGATCTTATTTATTTGTTACTCTTAGAACATCTCATTTTTGACTGGACTCAGAAGTAGAAGCTCTCAGAGAGGACAGCCTCCGTCTCTTGGCAATCTGTTCCTGACGTTTTCCTTTGGCCTCCTTCATCTCTTGGCCAAAAGTTTAAAAGCATATTCTGCAGCCTCTTCTTTGTTTTTCTTAGTACGCGTTTCGGTTTCTTCAGAGCGATACGCCAGCGTTTGTGTTGCAGAACTCGTGGGGTCACGAGACGCTGAATCTTGGGTGCTTTAGTCCTAGGTTTCTTACCTTCTTTGTTTAGGGGCTTTCGCACAACATACTGGCGGACATCATCTTCTTTAGAGAGATTGGAAAGTTTGAGGATTCTGCTAGCTCTTTTGGGACCCAGGCGATGAGGCACTGTAGTATCAGTGAGTCCAGGAATATCCTTCTCCCCTTTTTTCATGATGACCAAGTTGAGAACACTCAGATTGGCATTCACAGTGCAACCCCGTACAGATTTGTGCTTTCTCTCTCCAGTCTTCCTTGGTCTGTAACAGGAATGCTCCTTACTCAGTAACTCAGCCACTGGTCAAAACACTCTGCTTCATGGGGAAACCCTGCTTATCGTTCCCACCACTGATTCGGACCACATAACCCTTCCATTCTTCACCCAGAGCGTCAGCAGCAACTTCTGTGGCCATGTGCTTCTCGTAGAAGGTTTCATTCATTGACCACTTCAATGAGCTTCTGGCAGCCAGTGGCCAGGAAAGAGATGTTCAGCTTCATTCTGAAGTGGCTGACAGCCTCCGAGGCGCCACGAAAAAGAGGGAGTTAACTCTCTCCTGACTGTTTAGCCCCTCTGGTTTCCCTGCCGGAAGACTGTGCAACCTCCATTCATCTTGAGAGGTTACTGAGAGGAAGAGTAAATAGGTGGTTGAGCCCACTAGAACAGTGGGTCTTTCGTGAGGGGAAAGGTCACTTGTGCCCCCAATTTAGAAAACAAGTCTCTTCCTAACAAAGGTGCTGGGCATTCAGGGATGTATAAAAATTCATGAGTCACTTGGTATCCCCCCATCTGCCATTTTCAGGGTAGCCTAGAGACACAAAGGCTGCATTTATCACCATCTGAGACCCAGCAGCCTCTGGCTGGGTCTATTGGCGTATAAAGTCTATAGGCCTCGCACAGTCTTTGCAGAACTCAGAGGGTGATTCACTTTCCCTTTGAATCACTTTGGAGGGTTTTGCGATACTCATAGCTTTTCGGGCCCCCCTCTTTAGACCTTGTAAAATAGTCACCCGATATAACCTTGTCCAAGTAGGAGGGTCTTGAGTTAACCCTAGCCATGAGTCCAGTTTATGGATATTGATCCACGTGTCCTGGCTCTCCTGTGACTACTGTATAGACTGCTTCCACTATTTTTAAGTTCATGGTGTTCCTTGGTGGCCATCCTACTCCCATAGGGGGCCATTCGACCTCACAGAGTATGTGGAGGCAGTTAGCCTTCATTTTCACCCCGTAGTCTCCTCCAAATCCCTTCTTTAAATTTTAAATCATGCACTTCAATACAGTTGACTTAGATTCACTTCTCCCCATCTTGCTTACCTTCTCAGACCTTCTTCTACTTTTCCTTTCTTTCTGTCTACAAAGTTCTTGGTACCCTATGTACTTCTGATATTTCCACTCAATGACACTTAAATTGCCATTCTGCCTCCTTCCTAATTGCGGTGAGAAGAGCCTTACCTGCCAGATCCCAGAGGGAGAAGTGTGATTGGTGTGCCTTCACCTGCTGGTCAGCACAGCTGAAGCAGAACACCATGTGATCCAAGACTGTTTCTCCCTTAACTTTTCAAGTTAAAGTCCATTCTGCCTTGGTGTGTTTGATCAGGTGCGGAGAAAAATACAGATGGGTTAAATATCCCACATCCGAGGCCGTCTCCGGGAAAGCCAATTTGTACTCACTTATGTATCCCCCTCCTTCTAGCCTGACATTTCCGAAGGGGTTGAGAATTTCACAGCAGATGGGACACCTCCTCGGAGTGGGCAGAATATGAGCACACAAAGACCAGGTTTCTTCTCCTATCAATCCCCTGGAGATCGCTTGGTAATAATTTCCCCCAAGAAGGCGTGGACACCACCTCCTAAATGACCTTCACAAATTTCCTTCCTAAGTCCTAACACGCTCGTCAAGCTGTGTACCAAGCAATCGCTGCTGCCTGTCTATTCCAGGCTCCTGTGGGTCCCCGCCCCCTCTAATCCCTTCCAGGGGGGTGATCAGGCCCCCTCTTCCACCCTGCCGGGTGGGCTCCTCCTCACCTCAGCGCTCAGTTCCCTGCTGCCGTTCACTATCTGCTAAAGTGAAAGGTCCAGGCATTGAGAAGCAGAATCCTTCCAGAAGGGTGAGGCGCCTTCCCGCCTCTAGAAGATTCAAGCCGCAAGGCCTCGGAGTAGTCCCAAATGGGACTTGTCTCCTCAAAGTGAGGAGTTTCCCGGCCCATGCACCAAATGTAGCCACGCATTCTGGGACACAAACTCACTCAGAAGGACAATGCAGATAGTGCAGTGCAGTTTATTACACCGGCGGGCCCAAGGCAGAGACTTCTCTTAGCCAAGGACCCTGACCAGTTTTTCTGAAAACCTTATATACCCTAAGTGTACGTGCCCAAACCCACCTCCCCAAATTCCCTGAAACTAGTCTGAACAAAGGAAAAGAAAGATGCAATCAAAGTTAACCCGTGATTCATATGCCTTAAGCCTAGGTAGTTAACAGTGGACAACTATCAATAGGCCTGTGGTCATACCCCAATAAGCATAATAGAATTTATGATTCTATTCAGTTACACAGACAATTAGGGTATTCTTTTAGGCAACAGAGAGTCTAGGTAT